TTTAATTAAAAAATTGAATATAATGATAATATTTAAAAAATTTAATCTTTAAAACTAATAATTTTTTTAAAATTAATTAGGACCAATTAGGACTTTTACCAACCCTATCCTCATATCAGAATTCCTTTATTTCCTGACTTTATTGTAGGAATTAAGCAACTTATATCATATTTTTCACGAGGATAACGCCAGACCCAGTGATGAGCATTATTTTGAAACAATAAAAAGCGAGACTCATCACTTCATATTATTGTATTTACTCAGAATCCCAATCTCTTCTAGCATGATACCATTCTAACCTTTTTTACGGTTTGTTTCAGATACCAAAGGTTTTCTTTTCCCAGCATGACCATAAAAACCTTTATCATGTAAAGTACGCTTTATAGTACTAGAACTCACTGAAACTATTGATATCTGATTGAATTTTTCTATAATTTCATCTAAGGATTGTTGTCTATCCTTCTTAACAGATTTACAAGATATCTAATGTTTCTCTCTATTAATTTAGGTGGTCTGCCAGACTTGGAAGCATTGAAAATTTGGTTTTCTATTTTGTATTTTTCAATAATATTATGAATGGTTGATTTAGGATGGTCAAAAATATCCATAATATCTCGCTCAACATGATCACCTTTCCAAAGGCCAATTATTTCACTTCGCTCAAATTCAAAGAGTTCTTAGATTTTAGGCATTTTAAAAAACATATTTGAATACTAGAAGTTCGTGGCTATGCAGGAAAAAAAATTGACTCATTTATATGCATTGAGTTACAAATTATGATCGGTAAATTACGCTAATTAGTGTAACAAAAATCATGTGGTCTAATACTTTTGATTGGGAAGTGTACATACACCTTTGATAAATAGCATTATATTGTAAAAAAAATAATAATAATATTTTTTTTAACAATTATGTGCTCTTAACATTTGAAATAAAAATCATTATTTTTTAACAATAAATATCATTTCTGAATTTTGAAACGCATATTATTAAAAATATATAAACTTATTGTTTTAATAATAAATACTACCTTTGACTTTCAGAATAGATTTTATTATTAAAAATTATTTTTTAATAAAAAATGCTACTTCTAATATTTGGAATAAATTTTATTATTAAAAATAATAATAATATTTTTGATAATAAATGTTATCTTCAACAGTCAGGATAGATTTATTATTCAAAATTAATAAATATTTATTTTTTTAATAGAAAATGCTACTTCTATTAGGTTTTTAATAAAAAATATCACTTCTAATTAATTATTAGAATAGATTTTATTATTAAAAAGATAATTAAAATTATATTTTTTAATAATTAATATTCATTTCTGATTGTTAGGATAGATTTATTATTAAAAAATTAAAATATATATTTTTAATAGAAAATATTGCTTCTGACTGTTAGGATGAAAAAAAATAAACTTTATTTTTAATTATAAAGTTATCTTAAACTTGCAGAATGGATTTTTTATTTCAAATCTAACAAATTGAATCTGATTCTAAATCTAAATCTTATAGATTAGATCTAAATTCAAATCCAAATCTGTCAGATTGAATCAAATTTAAATTTAAATTTGATCTAAATTTAATAAATTAAATCAAATCCAAATCCAAATCTGATTTAGATTTGATAAATCCATTTGTTTAATCTATCTAATTTAAATTTGAATTCAGAAAAAAAATGAATATTAAAAAAATAATTTTTATTTTATTTTGATAACAAAAAATCATATCTGTATTTTAGTTTTTGGATGTTAATAGATCCTATTTACTTAGTTTAATTAATAGAAAAAAATAATTAAAAAAATAATCTATTATTACAGTATATTAGTTATATTTTACGTATTATAGTTATAATACAAATAAAAATCATTTACAGTTATATATAGTATATTAAATTATTTTTTGTAAAATAAATTTAAATTTTATTATAATTATAATTAATAAGTAATTATTTAGATATATTTGTAAAAAGAATAAATAATTTTTTTTTATTAATTAATTAATTTATTTTAATTTTGAATATTTTTAGTTTAATAAACTTTTGTAAAAAAAGGTTAAAGTTTATTACTAATTACTTTTAGTTTAAGATTATTAAATTTCTATTTTCTATATATATTTAATATAAGTAGCAATTATAAATTGTTAAAAATAAGTTTAATAATAGATTATTTTTTTCTAATTTATCAAATATTCTATGAAATTATTTAGCTTAATACAAAAAGAAAAGATGATAATATAATTTATTTAATTATTATCACAGGGTAAAAGTTTATATTAAAAATATATATTTGTGTAGTGTAATATATTTGTACTGTATAAGCATTACTTCAAAAATTAACTTTCTTTAAAATATTTTAATGAAAACGTGATTTTTTTTTCATTATGCAAGCTATCTTCATAATCTATTTTTGATTAGTTCAAAATGAAATCATGCGGCGATGATCGCTGAAAAAAAAAATATTTTTACTCGGAAAAAAATGTCAAAAGAATTCCTTCCCAAGTTAAGTCAAAATTATATTGAATTATTGGAAGATGATGAATACTACGATATCACAATTGAAGTTGGTGAGGATCCCAATGTACGAATCTTCCGTGCTCATATGAACATTCTATGTTATCGTTCACCGTATTTACGAAGAACTTTGAATACAAATAAAAAAAATGATGATAATGTCTTGGCCCATTTTAAGTTGCCAAATATAACTCCGGAAATCTTTCAAATTATATTCAAGTAAGTTGAATAACATATTCAGTAATTAAACACATATTTAAATATTTAAAGATTTTTCTTTTTTATGTAGGTATATTTATGGTGGCGTCCTTTCATTAAATGAACAAGAGACTTCAGATATTCTTAAAGTCTTGACCGCTGCTAGTGAATTACTCCTTCATGAACTCACAGATTATTTACAAAAGTATTTAATTGATAATAAATCCGAATGGATGGAACAGCATTTTGAGCTCACTTATCGAACAGGATTTCAATCTAATAATTTATTAGAACTTCAGCAATTTTGTACAGATTTAATATCTAAATCGCCCGAGAAATTATTTGAATCACTTGACTTTACTTTACTTCCTGAAAAGACTTTAATATCAATCATTAAAAGAAACAATTTGCAAATGAAGGAAGTCGACGTTTGGGATCATGTATTAAAATGGGGACTTGCAAAGAATCCAACCCTTATCCCAGACCCGTCAACCTGGACTGATGATGATTTCAAAGTAATGGAAAATACTTTACAACGATGTATACCTTTAGTCAGATTATACAGCTTATCATCTAAAGAATTCACACAAAAAGTTCGGACATATCAAAAGCTAATAGATCAACAATTTTATGAAAATTTGTTAAATTCTTACTTGAACCCTGACATTGAACCAACCGACGACATTTTATTTCCTAGAAACCTTAAAATGGATGGAGTTATTGATACCAAAATCGTTAATTTAAACGTTGCTTCAATGATTACAAGATGGATTGATAAAGTGGAAGTGAATAGTAGATTCTCTCATTTACGAGAGTTATATTTACCATATAATTTTGAATTACTGTTGAGAGGGAGTCGGGATGGATTTACACCTAAACAGTTTCATAAGTTATGCGATAATAAACCTATTACTGTTACATTAATGAAAGTAAAAGGAACAGATGAAATATTGGGTGGTTATTATCCTAATATATGGAGATCTAATGGTGTTTCAACATCAACAAAAGATATGTTTATATTTTCTTTTAAAATTAAAGATAACCTTATTAAAGATATTATTAAAAGTAATTCTATATGGAATAATAATGAATTAAGTTATCATAAAACTCTTGGACCATGTTTTTCCCATGATCTAGCGATTTTTTCGCTTGATGAAAATGATGATTTTAATAATATTTATTGTAATAGCAAAATGTTTGAAAAAAAGATAAGAGATGATGAAAATCAATTTTCTATAGAAGATTATGAAGTGTTTCAAATCATTAATAAGCAGTAATTAGAGACTTATTAGACTTATTATGGAACGGAGGATAGCATAACAAATCGAATTCCTATACGACTTAATAATTTTGAACACAAAAGAGGAATAATGTAGACGAAAATGATACTATGGTTTGTTACATTAAGAAAAAAAATAATTCTAGTATAATAAACACTCTTTGGATGATGAATCAAATCAAATTTACCCACTTACGAAAGGTCTTTACATTAACATTGTTAATGTATAGCACACTTTTCACAATGGATACAATCTTCTGTAAAAGAAAAATTTAAAATTGAGATAAAATCCAATTATATCATGTTCTAATGGTCATGTTGTGACTGAAATTAATTAAAAATTTATTCCTTTTTTAGCATTTGAATACAATCATTTATATACTACTATTAATTTAATATTTTGTTTCACAACGTAAAAATTTAAAATAATACATTTATTAATTTCGCTAATTCCGTTCGGAATAATTTGGCAAAAAAGCTTGCTTGATTAATTTCATCAATCAATTTCAAGATAATTTTATTCAATTTTTGAGATACAAGAACATGGAACAATTTTGATCGTATGGGTTTTAAATTTCGCTGCAGATTATTTTAAAAATGAAAGTTTCGTCCGCATGGGATAAACTCAATAAGACTAATAATAAAAAAAAATAAAAAAATATAGCAACCTATATACCGTAAGAAGGATTATATTTCGCTTGGCTGAATAAATTTTCGTTTAGGATCTAATTTTCTTGCTGAATATTTTGAAAATGGGAGTTTCGAATATTGGAGAAGAAATTAGAGAATTTTTAAGTGGGAATATAAATAAATAATAAAATTTCAAATAACCGCAATATAAAACTATTACATGCATGAAGGCAGAGGATTATATACTACGAAGCAAATATATCAAAAATTTCATCACGAGAGTGTAGATAAAGAGAAGGCTTTGCCGTTGGTGCGGTTGTTTCCAAGACCTAATAAAAACATCAAAAATTTTTATAGAAATTTCCTTCGTTTGAATAATTAATTTATTCACTTTTAAAAAAAAAAAAAAAAAATACAAACTGTATTTCCGATAATGTTTTTACATTTGATTTCAACCAAGGACAACTAAAAAAATAAATAATACTGTGAAATGTGAGTACTTGTGTCATAATCGTAAAGAGTCAAGAAGAACGTTCGCAGTCGTTTGTAACTGTGGCCACGATGAGCTTTCAATTCTTTGATTCGTGCATCCTATTTACCATTTAATTTAAACTTCCACAGGTGTGGAAGACATCGGAAACAGGGAAGAACGTTCACAGTAAGAACAAAAGCACTTCCATGATTAAAACAAATGCACCAAGAATTTATAAGTTTCCATGATTTTTACGAAGGAACATAACCAATTCTCCTACAAATCAGCAGACCTTCATCTCAGAAACTCCCTTCAAGGTTTCTTCATTCCACTTATCAAAGGAGCTCCTCACTCAAACTATGGCCACGAAGTGCTTTCGATTCCCAGATTATTTTTATACCTAGTGGCAGTGCAGCTTCAGATACACAACGACTCGACAAACAACTCAGTAAGACTACTTACTTTCTAAATTTAGCGACGTCCGTTATCCCGGTTGGACTACAAAAAAAAATAAATAATACTGTAAAATGTGAGTACTTGCGTCATAATCGTCAAGAGTCAAGAAGAACGTTCGCAGTCGTTGTAACTGTGGCCACGATGAGCTTTCAATTCTTTGATTCGTGCATCCTATTTACCATTTAATTTAAACTTCCACAGGAGTAGAAGACATCGGAAACAGGGAAGAACGTTCACAGAAAGAACAAGAACACTTCCATGAGTAACAAAACGAACTACGCCAAGAATTTCAAGTTTCCATGATTTTTACGAAGGAACATAACCAATTCTTCTTACAAACCAGTAGACCTTCATCACAGAAACTCCCTTCGAGGTTTCTTCATTCCACTAATGAAAGGAGCCCCCGCTCGAACTATGGCCACGACGAGCTTTCAATTCCCAGATTATTTTTATACCTAGTGGCAGTGCAGCTTCAGATACACAACGACTCGACAAATAGCTCAGTAAGACTACTCACCCTTTATTCAATTCTTCCTTTCCATAGCAGATGAAATTTTAGAATTTTTAATAGAATATTCAAACCACGCCTTGGCTTTTTTCATTCCTAGTTTTAGCTTTTTTTTTTTGTTTCAATAGTTTGGTGTTGTGGGAATTTTTCATCAAACGAACGGGAGGGAATTTTCTATCATAAAAAAGAGAGCATTTTTTTTATATTCCCACAAAAACTTGTTTCTTCTTACCATAAATAGAAATTGAACAACTCATAAATATTTCACATGACTGAGACTGTTGATACGGGTAAAATATAACAAGTTTAATTAAATTTCGCGATCTGCAAAATTATTTTGCATATCAATTTTATAGTTACGTGATTTTACCGGTTAATTAATTTTTATAATTAATAATGACTATAATAAATCGATTATCAGGCAAAAAATCATTATCAGGCATTAATAATTTTTCTTAATGCCTGATAATGATTTTTTGCCTGATAACCGATTTATTATAGTCATTATTAATTATAAAAAATCACGGGATACCGGATAATTTGAGTTATTTATTAATTGAATTACTATTATGTATGAATCTTTCTATAATATAATATCTTTCCAATAATAACCATTTTGATTAATTACTACTCCAATATTCAATAGTCTAGCCTTTATGCTTTTTTTGGCAAAATCTAATCGCAATTTACGATTTTTTTTTGAAAGTAAAGGCTTTTTTTTCTTAATTCAAGCCACTAATCCATTTATTTTAATATCCAAAGTACAGTATTATCAATTTTTTATTTTGGCAGAAACTGCTGTTCAACATTCGCCTCGTAAAATTTTTCTGATACATTCACGTTCTTCCCACTTTGTTTACTTTCGTGGACGACCAAAACCTGCTTTCATTCTAATGTTGCCTGTTTTTTTTCTGCCTTTCCATTTAATCGTAGTATGTGTGAAATGATGTACACCAATTCGTTTTCCAATTTTTCGCGATGAGTACTCAATATTAATACTGCAACTTTTTGCTCAATAGTTAGTTAAGACAAGCATTTTTATTAGAGTTATATATAAAAAATGAACAAAAATAACAAAAGCAAAAGCATATATCAAATCGTCAAAAAAGAACGATCGCATCATTTATCGCGTATAATTAAAAAAATTAACAATAAAAGTTCGTGCAAATTATATTCATATCATCAACAATTATACAAATATTTAAATTATAAAGAATTTTAGTTAAATCGCATCAGCGGTGCGAATTTTTTGACGGCTACGGTATTTTTTTTTTCTCATAGATAGATTTATTTTAAATTTCTAAAATCGAAATAGATAGGACAACGAAATCAAGCATTTTTTATTTTCTCCATGAAAATATACGTTTCCGTTTAAACTAACATCCTTTCGATTTCTACTGGTAAAAAATCAACCTTTTGTTTTTGAATTGAATTTACATTATTTATTGTGATCAATTACACGTTAATAATTACCTTCCTTCAATAATACCTGCATGTTTTAACACAAATCCGTTAAGAGAAATTCCACAAACTTGATAAATAGTTGGATTGGAAATAAAGATTTATTTCTCTCACCACTTTTAGTCTTTGGGTTTTATTGCTTAAGACCAAAAATTGGGCTAGTTACACTCGATATATTTTCGAAAAAATTGTCTTTTTTTTTGCACACCATAGTTGGCGGTAAAAAATTTTTTTTGCAAGGCAGATAGATATGTTGCATTGTCACTTTGATGATTAGAACAATCTTTATAAGTTTCTAATTCTGATCAAATTTTAAAAGTTAAACAGTTTTATTAAATTAATAATCAAAAAGTGAGATAGACGGTATAATACGTCTAATTCGTGAATTAATTTAACTATTCCTACTTTTTTTCTTCATAAAATCTTTAGATAACCATTTGTGTAAGTAGCCTTCTAATTTAATAAAAGTTCTTAATTTTAAAAGATCTTATTTTTTTTTTATAAAAACGAAAAAATTTTGTGCGATGCAATTTCTTAAAATAATAAATTTTTTAAAATCAAATTTTTTTTTTGAACAAAAAATTGATTGCATAATGGTTTGCCTGCATAGATCGAAAAGTTACCATCGTGTTAGTCCTAAAACGGGAAGTAATAAATTAAGTTTTTTTTTTTTTTTTTACTAATTTAGTATTCGCTAAGGGAGAGGAGGACATTAATTACTTAGAACCGCATATTGCTGTTCTTTCACCATACAATGAAACAAATGCTAAGAAGTAATGTAACTAACCCACCTTTCGTTGAAAATTCGTTCTTCCAAAAATTATTTTCTTAATTTGAAATTGGACGATAAAAAGTCCAATGAATTGGAAAAGCTCTGAACTCTTTTACTGCGGCATACGATTTCACAAATCAATGGTCAAATGTTTAAAGGAATGCAATAATGAATAGTGTTTAAATAGTAAAATCAATTGTGAATTTAGACTAATTACAATATAATAGATTTTAGACAATTTTCTTCAAGAAAACCCTCCAAATTTTTTCTTTTCTGAAAATTTTATTCCTAACAATTAGCAAATACAATTTTTCGTTTTTCTTATCGCCCTTCCCTCTTTTACTGATCTATACTTATATTATTGATAAGTTTTACATTCATCAAAAATATTTATGCAACTTTTCTGTTCACAAGCTGATATGCTGTGAACGGTTCCTAAAATTGTTTCGATATAATAACGTTTCAATAAAAAAAAAAGATTATTATTTTCTGGCGATTTCTTTGTTATTAAAGCAAAAGTTTATGTTATTTTTCCAAAAATATAATTTTTACGCGTCATAAATAGTGCATGGTACAAGAAAGAGAATTACTTAATATGATAATTGCCTGATAAATATATTTTTATTCAACTTGGAAAACCACATTCTTAGTATTATTCAACCCTCAATCATATTCATAAAGTCTTCTGGAATTACCTCTCTCACCTTCTTTAACAATTGCATAACTTCTCAATTTGATCGTATTCCTAATTCTTTAATTTATGAAACAGATGAAACAGTTACATGCAGCCAAGAACTTCTCTGCATTTTCCATACAAGTATTTTTCAAATCTACTAATTTAACAAATACTGTAGCTTAAATATTTTGCTTAAAATATTTTATATTTATTTTCATTCTTTCTATCTTTTCTTGATTCATCATCTATCTTCCTAATTTCGGTTCTAAATTTTTAAATCTACAAAGCCCGATCAAAATCCTTTTTTTTTCTGGCAGCATCCTTCCATTATTATTGCATAATCTGAATTAATAAATAAAGTGAATTTTTTACAACTCAAGTTAGGCTTATATAACGTAGATTTTATTGTGAAAATTTATTTAAATTTCACATTAATAATAAGATTAAATACAATTATTTGCTTTCGTTTATTTCGATTGTTTATAACAACTTTTTTCTAATGATTGCTAAATTTTTTATTTTTTTTTATAATTAAATTTTTAGCAAAAATCATCAAAAATTACTAAAAGTTAATAAATTCAATAACTTTTTATCAAAAAAAAGAAACTTCTCGAACTATTTAAGTTGATAATCAAAAAAAGTAATATAAACGAAAAATTCTATTTTCGGTTTTGATCGCCACCAAAAAAGAACAATTAATTTTTTTTTTGCTTGCTTTTTCAATTTGTAAAATGTCTGAAAGTAACGATAAAGGTAAAAGTGTAATAAAAAATATTAAAAATATATTTACTCAAACAAATAAAAGAAATATAAAAGAAATTGGTAAGCATGATATTTAGTAAACCATATTTAGACCTGTTATGTTCTAAAGAATTTTTTTTTTTAAAAAAAAATAAAAAGATAAATTTGAGCCAATTTCGAATACTGAGAAAGCCTTTTCGTTAGTAGAAATAGAAGGTAATATTTAGTAATCACATTTATATAAACATTTTTCATTCGTTAACCATCCTGAAAGTTTTCATAATTTGAAACGTTAGGAGAAATAGAAGGTAAAGAACGTTTATATACTTTCTATATTGATTTATAATTAATTTCAAAATTTTTTTTTAAACATAAATATATGATGATAGAGCCAGTTTCAGATGCTCCTGATATTCCTACTTTAGAAGAATTAAATGGTAATATACGTTCATTTATTTATATAATATTTAAAATAATTAATTTTTTATTGTTATTAAAAAATTTTTTAATGATCTTATAATACTAGCTTGTAAGTTATTTAAATTATGACTATTACTTTAAAATTTATAATTTAAATTTAATTAACTTAAAAAAATATCTAATAATATAGGGAGTAAGTTAATTTTAATTCTTTATATTGTAATTTAAAATTAACTAATTAATTTATTTAAAAAAAATTGATCGTTAACAAATTATAGTCGGTAAGTTATTTCATTAGAATCTATACTAATTATACAATTTTTAACTCATTTAAATTTTATTTAACTTTTTATAGAACGTAAGCCATGTTTATTAACAGTAATTATAATCAACCAATTTTTATAATTATATTAATGTATTGATAATATTACAGAAAGTAAGTTACATAAATTAATTATTTATACATTTTAAATGTAACTCAAATAAATTTGTTAAATTTATAATACAATAAGTTATTCTTATTAATTAAATTATACTTTTTATTTAAAAAAATAATTTAAAATTATAGATTGTAAGTTATTTTTATTAATTATCAGTATTTAATTATACTTTTTACTATAATTAAAACTCAACTAAATTATTTATTTAAAAAAATAATTTAAAATTATAGATTATAAGTTATTTTTATTGATTATCAGTATTTAATTATACTTTTTACTGTAATTTAAACTCAACTAAATTTTTTATTTAAAAAAATAATTAATAATTAATAATATAATAGATGGTAAGTTATTTTTATTAATTATCAGTATTTAATTATACTTTTTACTGTAATTTAAACTCAACTAAATTTTTTATTTAAAAAATAATTAATAATTAATAATATAATAGATGGTAAGTTATTTTTATTGATTATCAATATTTATTTATACTTTTTACTATAATTTCAACTCAACTAAATTTTTTATTTAAAAAAATAATTAATAATTAATAATATAATAGAAAGTAAGTTATTTTTAATGATTATTAGTATTTAATTCTTCTTTTTACTATTATTTAAATTCAACTAAATTTTTTATTCAAAAATAATTAATATTTAGATATTAGTATTTATTTTTACTTTTTACTATAATTTAAATTCAACTAAATTTTTTATTTAAAAAAACAATTAATTTTTAGCTAGTAAGTTATTTTTATGAATTATCAGTATTTAATTCTACTTTTTATTGTAATTTAAATTCAACTAAATTTTTTATTTAAAAAAATAATTAATATTTAGATTGTAAGTTATTTTATTAATTATTAGTATTTAATTCTACTTTAACAATAATTTATATTTAACTAAATTTTTTATTTAAAAAAATAATTAATATTTAGATTGTAAGTTATTTTATTGATTATTAGTATTTAATTCTATTTTTATTGTAATTTAAATTGTCTAAATTTTTTATTTAAAAAAAACAAAAATATTACTAAAGGGGGTAAGTTATTTTTATTAGTTATCAATATTTAATTATATTTTTTATTATAATTTAAACTTAATTAAATTATTATTTAAAAAACAATTAATAATTTTATTATATAAAGTAAGTTATTTTTATTAATTATTAATCATTAATATTAAACTTAATTATATTTATTAAAAAATAATTATTAATTAATTAATAAAATAATAGATAGTAAGTTTTTTTATTAATTAAATATATTTACTTAAATTTTATTTATTTAAAAAAAAGTATTTTAAAATATAATATTTATTTATTTAATTAAGTAAGTATTATATTTTTATTATATATAATTATAATTATTACAATTATATTAATATAAATTATAATTTAGAAAAAATTGAAATATGTTTAAGTTGTGAAAAAAAATATATTAAATATAAATGGTATAATGAATGTAATTCAAAATTTTTTCAACATTATTTTTCTAATTGGATTAGTAAAAATAAATTTATTGATAAATTAATTCAAAAAACTCAATTAAATGCTAAAAATGAACATCAAATATTAGAATGGATTTCTTATAATAATTTTAAGAATATTAAATATCTTGATAAAGGAGGATTTGGTTAGATGGATTTATTAAATTTTATTCATATAATGATAAAAATTGGATTAGAAATAATAAAACAATTATAGCTCTTAAAAGTTTTGATAAATCATCAAATTTAAATGAAGATTTAAATGAGGTGAAAAATTTATAATTAATTTTAATTTTAATTACTTTATATTTTAAGTTAAATTTTTTTAATATTTATTTTTTAGTAGAAATATCATTATAAATGTTATAGTCAATTAAAACCTTCTTTACGTATAAATCTTATTCAATTATATGGATTTATACAAAATCCAAATACTTTAGATTATATGATAGTAATGAAATATGCAAATAATAGTAGTTTAAGAAAGAATTTATCAAATATTGTTAAAGATAAGTGGGTAACTAAATTATATAAATTATATTATATTATTAGTGGACTTAATGAAATACATCAATAAAATCTTATTCATTGTGATTTTCATCATGGTAATATTTTGAATTATAAATATATGTATTTTTCTATTAGTGATTTAGGATTATGTAAACCTGTAAAGTATTTACAATCATCTGAAAATAATGGTATTTATGGTGTTTTACCATTTGTAACACCAGAAATTTTAAGAGGACAACCTTATACTTTAGCTAGTGATATATATAGTTTTTCTATGATTATGTGGGAATTTACATCTGGAATTATTCCATTTAATAATGAAGCTTATGATTTACAACTTAGTTTAAATATTTATAAAGGCAAACGTCCTGAAATCATTAAAGATACTTCACAATGTTATGTAAATTTAATGAAAAGTTGTTGGAATATAAATCCATCTAAAAGACCAATTGCATTAGATATTAAGAATATTATTAAAAGTTGGTATAAAAATATGCATGATGAAGCATATGATAAAAAATTAACAAATGATATTATAGAATTTTATAATGCAGATAAAGTTTTAAAACAAAATTATAATAATATATCATCTAATGTAATTATTAAAAGTTATTCACAAGCGTACTTTACAAGCAAATTACTTAATTTTACAGATAAATTAAATGAAATTTTAGATCAAGAAATAGTAGAAATAGAAACAGAAACAGAAATTAGTCAATGTATTGGTAATTATTATAATTCAAAAATTTAAATATAATAAATATATTTAAGATATTTAAGATTAATGTATTTGTTTTAATTTGTAGAAGCTTTAAATCTTACTGGCGAAATTAATTAAATTTAAATTATAACAGCATATAAATTTAAATTTCTAAAAATACTGTAGATGAAATAGATGAAATTTTGAAATTTATAAAATATTTTTAAAAAGTTTTTTTTTTTTAAAAAAAACATGTATTAAATTTCTAGATTATTTTAATATTGCATATACTTTATCCTAATATTGAAAATAATCAATATTTAAATATATATTTTTGAAATAAAAAATTATAATTTATATTGGAATCTTGAAATTCGAAAACCCAAATTTGTTCAACTTTTACATTACATAAATTTCAATCTTCAATGTGTTTATAAATCTAGGACATTATTCAGTAGTAATAAATGTCCTTTAAAAGGTGATTTGATGACTCTTCGGAATTCAAATTTCTCATAGAATAAGGTTGTCTGACAAACCCTGAGGTATTGACAGGTGGCAAATTTTGATGCTTTGTCATATTTTTTTTTAAAAATAAAAACTGAAAGTTTCGATGAGTGGCTAAACTCATAAAATCTTCGATAATAAAATGAAATTTTAATTTCTTCTAAAAATAGAATTCTCTTCGGATACATTTTTGGGATCTGGAAAAGTTCTTGAATTTTTCTTTAAATTTAGAATTATGTTCGAATCTGTGTCTAAGTCCAAATAGTCTCTAAGTCTAAACAGTTAAATTTACAAATTTAGTTAAATCGAGAACCATAAATATCTGTTGAAACTGTCCATGCTGCGCAGATCTACAACAGCCAATCATGTAATCTGATATTTCTGATATATTTATTATATTATTCATACTGTATTTATCATGTATATTAAATCGAACATAATTTATTCCTTATTAATTATTTTATATAAATACTCTGTAACTTTGCCTTGGAAAATGGCAGAATCTTACCAATCTCTAATAAACAATAACTTTATCTCTTAAACTTAAATATCTGTTCATTTATAATTCATTCTTCTTTAAATCTATACGACCTGACCTTTCAATAATTAATTCGTGTCTATTTCTTTCATAGTTTAGACTTAATCAAAATTCCTTGTTAGCAAATAATCAGTGTTAACTTAACGATGAACCGTTTAAGCTTAACAACCCGTCAAATTTATCAAATTTATTTTCGACTTTGCCAAAATGGGATTACGATTTTGCCCTACAACCTTACACCGAAACAAATTGGCCGTATAAACTCCACGAACGAAGTTTGTACCCTTACCTTACTATGAACTGTTGAAAGTTTATAACATTTCAAATAGCATCATCTATAAATAATATTTATTTGCAAATTTAATTAACCAACATTTTAGTTCAGTTTAGAGTAAAATTGAACTGAACATTGTGAAGTATAATTAAATAATTTCTTAATAAAATCATCTTGAATAATTATTCGCGAATTTCTTTTAAATATTTATAGTTGATATTTGATAGATATCACTGATAAATATGGAAAACTCTCATATGTAGAATTAATTCAAGTTCTTTTGGTTGATAAGAATTGGATAACAAATTTGTACAATAAGGTTGAATATCTTAATAAACTATTAATTATATACATGCAGTAAAAGCATTTATAAAGTTTTTATGGATAACTCAGTAATTTTTTATCGTCTTGAAGAAAATTTAATTAAATATAAAATATAATGATGTTAAAGTTCCGATACTTTTTTATAAAATCACTGCAACGATTATGGTTAATGATATTATAGTAAAGTTGGAAAGCTCGTGAAAATTTAATTTTTTTTGCCAGCTCATTATATTTATAAAAATTTTTATGGGGATTCGATAATTATTTTAATGGCATAGCATAGAAGTTGGAACTGAATTCGATCTTCGCCCGGTTCCCACTGGTTTAGATTTAAAACCGGATACAAAATTTGCCCAGAAGAAAAACCGGATTTATTATATCCGGATTTATTTAAACCCCCGGTATTTTGTTATCATACGATGCGCGCCATAATTAACTAATTTATATTGGCTAAACGTTTGCGTCTAAAAGGCAAATTCTTAATTTAGAAACCCGAAACGAAAATAATAATGCTTTCGTTTGTAAATTTAATTTAGACTTAAATTGATTTACAAACGCTACGCTAATGAATCATGTGGACACAACAAGTAAGATCTTATTTATTGCATAAAAATATTAATGGTACGGCTTAAAGCGATCGAACCAAAGAGTAAAAAAAGATAAATTGAAAATTGAAAACTAAAAAAATAAAATAAAAAAATATATACCGCGCGAATTCGATGCTACGGCCCACAGCGATTCAATCCGCTTAAAAAAAATTTAATAACATAATTTAATGAAAATAAAATTAAAAGAAACATAACTATGTATCCAATCCGAATCATCTAAAAAAAAAGATAAAATAAATAAACGAAATTATAAAAAAACTTTGATGGATCGCAGCCCGAAAAGTATCCTAAAGAAAAGAAAGGGCCCAATCAAATGTTTTATCTTTTCATCGTTCTAACCAGATTATTACATAAAAAATTTTTTCGTTAAGCAAAAAATATAATTATTTGCATGCAAAGCATTACGAAAGTTCTAAACCTCGCTAGCAGTTGTCGGATACAATAAATTCGGATATAATAAATCCGGAGTGAATCCGAAGAAACTGGATATAATAAATTCGGTTCCAATTTTTGAAAATAAATAAATCCGGATATAAAAAATAAATCCGATTCCAACCTCTATTTCCATGTATAATTCTCTTTTTGTCATTATTAAAGAATTTTAGCGAAGAAAATCAAAAATTAATTGAAAATAAATAACTTTGTCTTATATTTATAAATTTCGCCATATCAAATAAGATTCATTTAAATTTGATTAATCAATGTTATGTCATAAAAGTTAGATAATTTAATAGTTTATAGGTCTTGACGAAAGTAAAATGTTGATCAAAAAATACTACATGTATGTTTTTTCCATGCCATGTATGGAAATAATTAATTATATGTTATGTTCCATACATAGAAAATATCCCGTACATGATCTTGATTCATTAAAAAATTTTAATATGCTTTAAGCATAATTGGAAATTTTTAACGCATAATTGATGCATAATTGCAAAATTTATGCACTTTGAAATGCTTATATTTTGTTTTTACTGCATGCATAATTAGCAATTTATTGCATCCTCCCTGATCCCTGATCAAACGTTACAAAATTGAAATCCGAACATTTAATTCTATTTTTTTGAATCAATTCCAATCTTAGCCCTTTAACTATCAAAAACTAGCATATTAATAATCGAAATGTTGTTTTGAAAATGTCAAAGGGTAACCAGATACATAATGTAAGTTTTAAACGAAAAGTTTAGTGTCTGAAAAGATTATGAGGTAATTTGACTTTACTAAAACGTGAATATCTTCAAAAATGCTTTTAATCCCGTATTTTGATTCCTAAATCTTAAAATACAAAGTACTCAATAATTATCAATCGTAAATAAAGAGTGAATCTCAGGATAACAATTATTACTCGTCTTACGCAATTTCCAAATGGCAGAACTGGGAGTCTAGATTTCTTCATTTCCTCACTGATATGTATTTATGCTTTTGTGAATATTCTATTCCGAGATAAAACCAGCTTCAAAAACTGCTCGCAAAATCTCTTAAAGAGAATAGGAATACGACAATTAAAGTAGTGGCATTTTTGTTATAACTGTATAGAACCTCTGGTGGCAAAACCATTAATTATTAAATTCTCCACCACCTTGGCGTTTGACATTGCAGACAAATCTTTTCAATTTTTTCTAGTGAATATAAACGAATATTCTGTAGAAAACATTTTTATGAAGCAATCATGGAAGTCTAAAAAAAAGATAATCCTCATCGAGTCCATTTCGAATTTATCCGAACTTTCTATTTTATTATTTTAAGTTTATTTAGAGGATTTCATGACTTTTCTGGAAGCATCTTGCATTTAATCGGTTTATTCATAATTTAATAATTACTTTGGAGCAATCGTCCTTATCATTTTATTAATTAGTCATGGCTGTACGTTCAAGACTTATAAGTATTTCGGGATTTGTTTTGATAAGCCAATAATTTCCTGAGTATACTATATTTTGAATATAATAGAAATAATAGTATAGATTTTCTCGTTCCAAAGTTAAGATCAAAATTTATTACCTTTAGGAATGAAAGAGCTTTTCCGCATAAGCATAAACTTTGAAGATACAACTGATTCTGCTAGTATCAATTTAATAATTTCAGCATCAGTTAGAAACATTCCGTGCATTGTAAAATAGTTTAGGTTTTGTGGTTAATAAATATGCTGAATATTGAGCTTTTTATTTGAAAATTGTAGAATTTCATTTATTGCTTTAATATTAAATTTATTAACAATTTATAGCGAAACTATTCCATAGTTTAGATAAGTTATAAAACGTTGCATTATAATGGACAATGTCTATTTGGTTAATAAATCTTTATTTAAACGAATTATTTACATAAACCTAAATAAGTATTACTCGGAGTTCAGTTTTATCATTATCGTGAATACTAAACCAAGCCTTTCATGTCATCTAAAATGCTTCGTATTGTAAATTATTTTATATGTACACTCCGACAAGAATGTTACTATAATTTCAATAAATACAATAATATTCTGGCTGTTTGTTAAAAGCTTTCATAATTGTGTCATTGACTTTGGATTAATTGATCTATATGTGATTTCATTTAGTGCTTTCGTTATGCGGGGACGCTAGGCTTTAATTTTGCCATTTCCAATAATTTTATAATTTGATTTGTTGTCTTGGCTGTGCTTGCAACTCACTTTTAGCTGGCTCTTGAGCATTGGGTTGATTTCACCCGCAAATTAGAATGATATTCGTGTGAACGGAATAAATTTGAAATGAATTTATTCTTATGACTCTTCAGCATTTTTATTGAATATTTCTTTATTAGGTTCAGGTGAATTTTCACGGAAATAAGATCGCCCACAACTTTTGATGATCAAATATTGACATGACGTAATCAAATTCCGATTGGCGGATAAAAAAAGAGTTTTTCCGAAATTACGCCAAAGTTCACTTTCACTTCTTTACACCATGAACGTTCCCGGTTATTTAAAAATTTCTGACTTATTACGTCAAAATGAAGTAAGTGTAAAGGGTAAAGGAAATTCCAATGCGGCTAGTCTTGCAACAATTTTGTTAAATCACGCAAATAAAATTCAAGAAGAATGGAAGACAAATTTGTCGAATTTCAAAGAAATTCTTCAAAAAAGTCGAAGGTAATTGAAATTCTTTGGATAATTAGGTTAAATTTTTTTTTTTATCTAATTTCTTTTTAATAATCGAATCTTTAATTACTATGTAGTATTCAAAATGAATTTCTAGGTTTCATTTTTTTTTTTTTTTTTTTTACGTATTTTTATGAAGTAACCCTAACCCCCTTTTTTAATTTGAAACTTTCAATAATTTCGTCAAATTTAATTAGATAATGAATTATTGGAAGATGAATTTGGATCTGATCTTATATATAACAACCTTCCAACTATATATTACTATGATGATTATTACGACTTTGAACGGGATAATAATGTACCGTTTGATAAGGAATGGTTGCTAGGGCATGTATTTATATTAATTAATTATTTATGTATTTATTTTGTAAAATTCATTTTTCTTTTTGCTAAATTTAATTACGTTCATAATTGAATCTCAAGACAGTGTCGATTACACATTGCCTCATTCTGTGATGCAGATGGAGCGATAACTCCAGAAAAGTTATGTACAAGCATTTTTACAATCTTAAGGTCAGGTGTGGGAGGTTAGTATTATATGATTTTAATTTGTGCTTTTGTTTCTTTGATTAATTTTCTGTTTAATACTTTTGATATTAAAAGTTTAATTAATATATTCCAGACGATATTCAAACTGAATTGGTCGATCTTATTGGCTTCGATAACTTAAATTTTGTTACCACACTGGTAACTAAACGGTTCACAATTCTTGAAAATATCATTAATAAATCACTATATGTAGAAATCCCACAAGTAAGTCTAATTTATTTTTAAAACTGAAATTTCGATCTTATTTTGCACAAGTTTATTTTAATATTGGCCCTAGGATTCACAGAAGTGTTCCTCAATTACCATAATTCAACCTAAAGATAAAAGACACTCAGTTAATGACAGGGTGACGAAGCGTTTACGGAAGGAACAGAAAAAAACAAAACAAAAAAGCAAAGGTATTTATTTTTTTTAGATAGATTGATTGGTGGAAATTTTTTTTTTTAAAAAAAAAAATTTAATATCGGTTATAATTCCATTTTTACAAAGTGGAAGAAGATTTGACCTCAGCAAATATTTTAGGGTTTAGTGTTTACAAATTACGCGCCATTCGGGAACAAGCTTTACGTACCTCAAGAGATATTCCGCTACGTCCCGAAGATGTTAGTTTTTCATCAATCAAGATCTTCTTTTCAAATATTTGATAAATTAGTTATTATATAATTCATTTATTTATCATAAATTTTACATTCATATTGTATAGATTACTCCATCTGAAAATTATAAACACATCTTTAGAAATGCCCAGACAGGTAGCGTACTTTCCGTGTTTGGAACCAAATATCCTATACCAGTTGGCACCAAACGTGAAGAATTTTATGCAAGTAATCCATTTTATGTAAAGATTTATCAGATTATTTAAAGTTAAACGATAATTATTTATATAGGATCACGAAGAAATTATCATTCCGATTATTAGGCGAGCTCCACACATGGAAAATGAAAAATTAATTAATCTGAATGAAACCGATAATCTTTGTAGGGGTTCGTTTAAGGCAAGTGTTCATATTCATTCTATTTCTTTACCTAATATGAATCTGTGCCTTAACTTTAATTTTATTTAATAGTATAAGACACTGAATCGTATACAATCACTTGTTTACCCTGTTGCATATAAAAAAAACGAAAATTTATTAATTTGTGCCCCTACCGGAACAGTACGTATTAGTACTTTTCGCATATTTAAGTTGAGTCATATTTAACTAGCGAATTTATTAAAAATATAGGATAAAGCAGATATAGCCATTCTTACAATACTACGTACGATCAAGGGCTATTGCTTTCCCGAACCGTTGGTCCAACGGGAGCCTCAAGACTTTATAATTGATATAAATGAATTTAAAGTCGTGTATATTGCTCCTACGAAAGCTCTTGCTGCAGAAATTGTAAAAAAACTTGGCGATCGATTAAAGTGGCTTGATGTGAAGGTTAGAGAATTTACAGGTAAATTAATTAATTATTCACGATAAGTATACATTATGATTTATTTGTGACACTAATTTATATGAATAATTTAGGAGACTTGCAACTGACTAAGTCTGAAATTTCAAATACACAAATCATTGTTACAACCCCCGACAAGTGGGATGAAATTACAAGAAAAAGCAATGGAGACGTCGAGCTTTCTCAAGTATTATTTTTTCATAATTTTTTATAATTTTTAAATAAAGTCAACATATCTCTTATAATACTATCTATATCTAAATTATGCGCAGAAAGTGAAACTTCTTATCATTGATGAAATTCATTTATTACATGAGGATCGAGGTGCTGTTCTGGAAAGTTTAGTCGCACGTACCCGTCGTCAAGTATTATATAATTTTAAGCAATGCACTATCTATTTGTTCACATACGATTTTTGGTTAGTAAATGATATTAAAAATTCATTCTAGATTGAATCAAGTCAAAAAATGATCCGTATTGTAGGCCTTTCCGCTACGATACCCAATTATGTCGATGTAGCTCGATTTTTAGGGTATTTGTGTTTACGATATATTAGGTTTTAATCGACGTTATATAAGTTTAAATATACTACTTTATTCTATTAGAGTTGATCTTAAAAATGGTGCCGAGGGATTATTTTATTTTGACGGTGGTTTTAGGCCTGTTCCATTAGAACAACATTTTATTGGTGTCAAGGGTAAGCCCGACTCAATTATTTCTAATAACAACCTCAATATGGTTTGCTGGAAGAAAGTAAGATTTTTAACAAAGAATTTGAGTATTTTTATTGAAATATATCATTGAACACTTTTAACCTTTTTTATTCATTCTATAGGTCTTGGATCTCATCAGAGAAAAACATCAAGTGATGGTTTTTGTTCATTCACGTAAAGATACTGTTAGAACGGCAAAAGTATTACATGAGTTTGCATCCTATGATGGACATTCAGGTAATAACTAATTTAATTTCTTGTTAAAACGAAAATCATTTCAAGCCTTAAAAGTCTTACTTACATTAATAAAATATTAGATTTATTTGATGTGTCTACTCTCAAAGGTTATCGTCTTAAAATTCAAGATGTTATGGAATCAAGAAATAAAGATTTAAAAGAATTGTTTCAATATGGTCTTGGTATTCATCATGACGGCATGTTAGAAGCTGATCGATCAATGACAGAGCGTTTGTTTTCCGAAGGATTTATAAAGGTATATATATTATTACCTTCCAAATAGTGATTAAACTATTTATATCATAGTAAAATTACTAAAAATTTTTTTTCTTAGGTCTTGTGTTGTACTGCAACGTTAGCTTGGGGTACACATTTATCGGCTCATGCAGTAATAATTAAGGGAACGCAAGTATATGATTTTCAAAGGTGTAGATTTGATGATTTATCAATTTTAGATGTTATGCAGATCTTTGGTAGAGCAGGTCGTCCACAGGTTTGTTAATTTTAATAATTTGTTTTTATTTTTTTGTTATTTTAATCGTTTTCATTATATATATATATATATATATATTTTACGTCTAATCAATTAGTATGAAACACATGGCGTTGGCTATATTTTGACAACACATGACAAACTATCACACTACGTGTCTGCAATGACACAAAAACATCCTATTGAATCAAAGTAAATTCATATTAACTTGAACTTGTATTATGTTAGGTGAATCACGATTATAATTTATTTTTGGTTAATACTTTAGATTCATAGATAAAATGGTTGACAATTTGAATGCAGAGATTTCACTCGGCACTGTGACAAATGTTGATGAAGGAGTTCGATGGCTGGGTTATACGTATCTATTTGTACGTATGAAAATGAACCCACTTGTATATGGAATGAATTATTCGGAACGAGAAAATGACCCGGAGTTAGGCAAACAACGACGCAAACTTATCGTGAATGCTGCAAGTACACTTCATAAAATTGGAATGATCAAGTTCTACGAAGATACTGATTATTTCGAAATCCAAGATATTGGTCGCATCGCTTCCAATTATTATATAACACACAAAAGCATGGAGATCTTTAATGATAAACTCAAAGTACATAATAAAGAAGCCAATATTCTATCAATAATTAGTCAAAGCAGCGAATTTGCAGATTTGAAATCAAGAGAAGAGGAGGTTAAAGAACTTGAAAGGCTTAAGGAACATGCTTGTCCTTGTCAAATTAAGGTTGTATTAATGTCCCGGTGACGAAGGTCTTTTCAAAAGAAATTACTAACATTTTTTTTTCGATTTATTATTATACAAATAGCAAACTACCGATGGTACTGCTGGAAAAGTCAATATTCTCTTACAAGCATATCTATCAAATGCCAATGTTGAAGATTTTGCCTTAATATCTGATTCAGCGTTTGTAGTACAGAATACTAGTCGCATAGTCCGAGCTTTATTTGAAATTGCTTTGAATCGTAATTGGGCTCAGGTTTCTTCCACTTTATTAGAATTATGTAAATGTATTGACAAGCGTATGTGGACGTTTGAGAATCCTTTGGCTCAATTTAAAGTGCCTCGAGAAATTATAATGAAGCTTCAAAATAATCCACACACCCCTTCATTAGAGGACATGAGAGATATGTCCGCGGCTGAACTTGGACTATTAGTAAAGCAGAATAGCATGGGCGCTTATATTTCTAAATGTTTAGACATGTTTCCAATGCTCAAGTTGGAAGCACAAGTTGCACCTATTACACGTAATATTCTACGAGTAACTCTTAGTATTACTCCTGATTTCGTTTGGAATGATCGTATTCATGGTATTGTAGAACCATGGTGGATATTCGTCGAGGATTCTGAAAATGTCGAGTTATATCATTCAGAATATTTTATATTAAACAGGAAGCAACTTGAAGAAACTCAAAAGATTGGATTCGCAATTCCAATCCAAGAATTACCTCCTCAATTATATATTCGTGTCATATCAGATAGGTGGATAGGAGCTGAGGCATTTCTTCCAGTTTCGTTAAACCATCTAGTTTTGCCTGAAAATTATCATCAACATACAGAATTGTTGAGTTCACCTCCATTACCTGTAACTGCTCTTAAAAACAAATCACTTGAAGAGATATGTTCTAAGAGATTTTCTCATTTCAATCCTGTACAGACTCAGGTATTTGACACTCTTTATAATTCTTCAACCAATGTATTGATTGGCGCACCCACAGGATCAGGAAAAACGGTTACTGCTGAGTTAGCAATGTGGTGAGTGAACGAATTGTACTATATTTTTCAGCACCGAACATTTTACGCGTGAAAATTAAAATATTGTTCTGACTCTTTTAAGGTGGGCATTTCGTGAACATCCACGTTCCAAAGTCGTTTACATCGCTCCATTAAAAGCTTTAGTTCGTGAGCGTGTAGATGATTGGCAAGCTAGATTAACCGGTCCAATGAAAAAACGACTTGTAGAATTAACAGGAGATGTTACTCCGGACTTGCGTTCTATTGAAAAAGCCGACATCATTATTACAACTCCTGAAAAGTGGGATGGTATAAGTCGTAGTTGGCAACATAGAAGTTATGTCCAAGCCGTATCACTTGTGATTATTGACGAAATTCATTTACTCGGTGGTGATAGAGGACCTATATTAGAGGTTATTGTATCACGAATGAATTATATCAGTTCTCAAAACGAAAAAAAGGTTCGCATTGTTGGGTTATCAACAGCTTTAGCAAATGCTCAGGACTTAGCAGACTGGTTGTGTATTGATGAGTGTGGACTGTTCAATTTTAGTCATTCAGTACGTCCTGTTCCATTAGATATTCATATTGAAGGATTTTCTGGCAGGCACTATTGTCCTCGTATGGCTACTATGAATAAACCAACCTTTATTAATATTATGAGACATTCTCCTATAAAGCCTGTAATTGTGTTTGTTTCATCAAGACGTCAAACACGTCTGACAGCTCAGGATTTGATTGCGTATTGTTGCTTGACTGAGAATCCTCATCATTTTTTGAGAATGACTGAAGAAGAATTACAAATCAATTTATCTCAAATCAAGGATAGTAGCATGAAAAGTACTCTTACTTTTGGCATTGGGTTGCACCATGCTGGATTAACTGAAAGTGATAGGAAGATTGTGGAATTATTATTTTTGCAACAAAAAATTCAAGTTTTAGTTGCAACTAGCACCTTGGCTTGGGGTGTGAATTTGCCTGCTCATTTGGTTGTAATCAAAGGAACCGAATTCTATGATGCCAAGTCTAAAGGATATGTAGATTTTCCTATTACTGATGTACTCCAAATGATGGGTAGAGCTGGTAAGTAACGTTACGCGGATTTATCACTTCAAATCTCGATTACTTTTGTGTTAATGGGCTTCGGTTTATTAGATTCTAATACAATTTCTTCTTTTTCAATTAAACAGGTCGTCCACAATTCGATGATAGTGGTGTTGCTTGTATATTTGTACAAGATTCAAAAAAGAATTTTTATAAAAAGTTTTTGTATGAACCTTTCCCGGTAGAGTCCAGCTTACATATGCAGCTTGAAAATCATTTCAATGCTGAAATAGTAGCTGGTACCATAAAGTCTAGAAAAGAGGCCATGATATATCTTTCTTACACTTATTTATATCGTAGATTACAACAAAATCCAGCTTATTATGAATTAAAAGATGCCGAATCCAAAACTATTGACGATTATCTATCAAAGCTGTTTGAAAATTCTATGAAACAGCTGAATCTCTCTGGTTGTATTGAAGTGGATGATGAATTTAATGTGGAACCGACTTCCCTTGGCAGGCTCGCATCATATTATTATCTTTCACATAAAACGGTCAGACTCATCCGAGACCATATTAAAAATGATTCAACTATCCGAGATATTTTAGGAATATTATGTAATTCAGACGAATATTCTGAGCTTCCTGTTCGACATAATGAAGATCTCCAAAATCAAGAATTGGAAAGGGAACTTCCTTGGTCTGTTCAATCTCATCATCCATATGACAGCCCACACGCGAAAGCATTTTTGCTTTTGCAGGCTCACCTTGTAAGGACAAAATTGTCAATAGCTGATTATGTTACAGACACTCTGTCGGTTTTAGACCAAGCAATTCGTATTTTACAGGTAAGATTGAACATCCGATTTTCGGTCATCTTGTACATAAAATATTTCTAACTTATTTTTTTTTCCTCCGTTTATTATTAGTCAATTATTGATATTACTGTCGAAAATAAAATGTTAACAACATGTCTTCACACAATGTCATTATTACAATGTATTAAGCAGTCATGTTGGCCTGAAAAGTCATCATTGCTGAATCTTCCTGGAATTGAAGATCATATGATTAGTTCAATTCTTCATGAGGTACTATCCATTGAGCGCAATTGATTCTTTCTATATGGATTTGCTAATTTTTAAATAATTTAAATGTTTCAGGGGAATGTTGTCACATGCCTAGGCGAAATATTGGACCTTACAGAAGAGGAGTTGGCTAAGATTTTCAAAAACGTTAGCGGACTTTCCGAACCTGATGTAGAAAAGGTACGTTTCATTTGTTTGATATATATATATAAGTGACGTTGCGCCATTGCATGAGATCATATCAAATAACTTTAATTAAAATTTTTACGATGAATCATAGATTTGTAAAGTCGTCAACAAAATTCCTCTGATAGATATTGGTTATCATATTACTCCAGATAAAGGTTCGTTGACTCCAAAGGAGGAGCGCACGTTAGTAGTTTCTTTGAAAAGGGTAAAGAATATATCAGGATATGATGGTAAAATTTATGCGCCTAGATTTTCAAAAGCACAAAATGAATCATGGTGGTTGGTAGTTGGAGATATATCAGCCGACAGCATAATCGATATGAAAAGGGTTAATATGCGTAATGGACCTTTTGGAGAGTTTTCTAATGAACAAACGTTCAAATTGAAGTTGATCGCACCAGAGAGGGGAGGATCTCATCACTACACGATATTCCTTATTAGTGATGGTTACTTAGGAATAGATCAACAATATGACGTTAAATTTCATGTTCAAGATGTTCAAGATGTTAAAGTCGTTAAAGAGATGAATTGATAATGGAAGGGAATTTTTTTCATTTTTATTTATTTTTTAATAATTGATAACTACTATTTATTTTTAAATTTTTTTTTCGCATTTTCTTTTTAGAAATTAATGCATTTAAAAAAAAATATAGTGATAAATTAATAATAATATACATTTTTAATTATAATTGATTGAAAACGAAAAAAAAAAAGATTTTGAGCCAATTAGTCTAATGATGTAATCGTCCAGATTACTTGAAAAGAATAAAAAAGTTGATGTTTGGTTAAACTACATTAATTTAGTCTTTATTTTATTTTATAATACATTTAACGTGTTTAAATTTTTTTTTTTCTTTTAAAAAAAAAAAAAAAAAACAATACCAATATATAAATTTCCACCCACTAATTTGATAGTAATATAAATATCAATGCTAAATTACAAAAAGAGAGAGAGAGAGAATAAGATAAATAAATAATAAAATACAATAAAAAAAAATTTTTTTAATATTATTTCTGAACATGATAAAATCAAGATCTAAGAAAAAGAAATAATTCTGGTTTTTTTTTCACCGCCTAAATTAATTTTCTTCACATTTATGGATAGTAAGCTTGCTGGCTAGCCAATGAAGTTGCACTATTCCTTGTATTACCATAATTAAACTGTGAAGAGCTATTATTACTATATGCAGATTGTGGATGTTGTTGATATGTTGTAAAATTTTGTATTTGTCTTGTATTAGGTGGTGGCGGTTGTTGTAATGATGGAGAATGTTGAGATCCTGAGGGAGTTTGATTTGAAATATTTTGTGTTGAAGAAAGAGATGGTTGAAAGGCGGGGCGTATTGGTTGTGATGAATATGTTGACATATTATTGGGTCTCTGAGAATAATATATATTACTGACCATGGGCTGTTCGGGTACAGTATTATTAGCGACTTGCCCAGGCCTGCATTATGAGGAGAAATCATAAAATTAGAATTGTAATCTTATTATATTCATTTTTAATTCTACTTGTTAAATATTATTACTTACAAAACTCTTGTATATATTTTTGGAAATATTCCAATTTTATCGGTTCCTCGAACTCTACCTTTCCACCAATCCATATTTACTAAAAATTAATACAAATTTGGATTAATAAAAGTTACCAAAATACAGGAAAACAATCGTAATTAGAAAACTTACCATATTCAACCACCTCTATAATATCCCCTTTTCTAAAACTTAAATCTCCATTATCAACACCTATTAAATATATAATAATAATAAAAAAATAAATTAAAAAATATAACTAATTAACGCCATAATAATAAATGTCAAAATAATAATAAAAAAAGTATAAACAATCATTCGCTAACCTCTAAAGTCCCACAAGGCCTCAACGAGTGAAATACTATATGCTGGCAACACGGATTCACGCTTTGGCTTACGATTCATAGATTTTTCGTATTCTGCCTCTTCCTGTTTACTATTAAATGCAGGTAGAGGCTGAGGACATGGGGAAGACGAATTGGATGCATTTGGTGGAAAAGGTAAAGGCCTAGTTGCAATTATAGCTCCTGTATTTGAAATCAAGCTAGCAGTTGAGCTATGTTGTGATTGAGGACAAACTTGTTGAAAGCCAGGAACTCGAGAAGGCAAATCTGGTCTTGACATTATTGATTGGTATTCGATTTGTGATTGGTCAGCAATCCCAACTTCTTGATTCTGCATTAAATGTGGTAGAGGAGGAGGAGTGCTTAACAATGGGGGCGTTTCTCGAAGTGGTGTTATGGATCTTCGTTGTGCTGATATTTGTTGCGACTGTCGTTGAATTTCATTTTCTTCTTCAATTTTTTGTTGTACTGAAGGATGCATTGGTTGTTCTTGTGAAATCTGAGATGATGCTGAAAGTGGTCTTTGCGGTATAGAAGTATTTGAATCATGTTTTTTCGAAGTATCCGATTTTACAGAAACTTCTGAAGTTTCAGACCGTACTGGAGAAGAAGGTGAAGGAGCCGGAGGAGGAGTGTGAGGAGCCGTGTGAACGATAGGCTTAGGTAACCTTTCCACTATTTCATCAAAGACAATTGATGAAATACAACCTTGTTGACGAAGAAATTCTAAATCTCTAGTAACATTTTGAACTATGTGTGAAACGTAAGGTTCATTTCCAGAAACTTTGCTGATTACAGAAGTTTTCATTGAAGGAGTAACTGATGTGTAAGAGGTATCCATTCGAGTAGGATTGTTTGCATACATTTATTTCAACAAGAAAAGAAAAAAAAACTCTACTATTGACAAGTTAATTAAAATCCGAAAAAAAAAAGTAAAGTAGCCAAGAAGAGGAGTAATAATAACAATAATCGGTAAATAAGTAAAAACAATTTAAAAAAATGTTTATTATTCAAGAATATAAAATTTTAGGAGAGCAAGTAATCAAATTTTTTTTTTTTTTTTTGGCGAAGCTGTTCTTTCTCTACTATATAAATGAAAAAAAAAAAAAGCATATTAAAAGGAATTTCTAAATAGCCAAGTTCGGTCACACAACAAAAAAATCGATTGGAAATTACTTCAACATATATAACTCCGACAAACCTCGCCACACATTTTCCATTTTTGGTTAAGGAGCCACGCTTTTTCATCACACTTTTTAAATTTCATCATTACATATTTGTTTTGATATTTCTCCGTAATTTTTGAAACGATATGATAAAAACTTTTATTACACAAAGAATTTCTTTTCGAATGATAACGTGAAACGCCACAAAATATTTTTGCGTTTGGAAGAAAATGGAATTTTCCATTAAAAATTTTTGTAGACATGTTCATATTATAATTCATGCAAAGCTTGTCATAAATCATTTTACGAATGAAGATATTTAGGTAGACTGTGCCAATACCTTTCATAAGAGATCCTACGTCAGAAAGATAAAAATATACTGTATTGTGCAATTCATTCATTCATTGAATAATTATCAAGATTTTTTTTTTTTTAAAGTTCATATCTGATCCATATAATATTGAACAGGATCAGGAAATCATTGTGTTAATGGGTACGACTTTCTGGAATTTCTATGATATTACTTACGTTCATTCGTAATACTCTTTTCAATATAATTATTCGATTAGTAATTAATACAAAGTGCAGGATCTTGAAATCACTGGTAGCACAATCGAGAAAACCTTTGACATTATTAACATTAATGCAGAATTCCTTTATGTTTCGTTCATTGAGAGTTTCTAACATCATACATAATATTACCATTACCTGTGTTGCGATATACATTATACATGCGAAAAAAGAAATGATTTGTTTTTAATGTTCCAATAACTTGTGAAATAACATATGAAACAAGATGAAAAAAGTAAATCAACTTTATAAAATCAATATACGATTCTTTGTTAATTCAATAATACCCCTTTCCGCGTCACTTAATATAAGGATTCGTCAATCACATATAGTGCAATTGATCTTTTATGCAAAAACACGTAGTCATGTATGAATCCCATCGGTTTCAGTTGTCAAATCAAAATTTATTTATATATATGTTAATATTTTTAGAAAATAAATAAATTTCTGATCATATGCGTTCAACGAGAACAATCTTTATGATTTGTAATGATTCCGCGCAAACATATATACATGAAGGTCTAATTAATTTGTGGAATACAATGCAACATGTGTTCAAGTCGGAACTTTTAATGATGTGATACATCCCCTATGAAAATAGACATCAATAGATACCAAAGGTATTTGATAGAGCACAAAAAAATAATTTATTCGGTATTCATGTCAAATATTTAATTTAAAGGAATGTAGTCATCAAAAAAATATATTGATTAAATTGAGATAGCATTATGTTTGAAGGATTAGTCAGTTCTTGGTAATGATTCTCATTTGGCACATAAACTAAGCCAAATACCAGTTAACAATAACGCTAATTCATTATGAATTTGGAACACAGAGTTTGGTGAATCGCTGATTGTTTTCCGAAATGTGTTCCAATTTTAACCAAATTAAGTTAATATCAAAATTTCGAAAAACTTTGATCTTAACACAGTTAGCACATGATTCCATTTTCTGTAATTTGTAACTTATTTTTCGACTCCATAGATGAATTTTTGATCTTCGTGTTTTGAATTTATCCCGAGAAAAATTTTCAAGTATCCAATAGGTTGCGTTATCCATTTATTTTAAAAAATTTTTTTTTTCCATATTAAGACATTTAAAAAACGAGTCAAAACATGAAGAAAATTATATTGATTAAAAAATAAAGGATACCAAATTGTTGACTTTTTTTTTCCACTTGAAGCCTTTTTTATACTTTGAAGTAATTTGTGGTGATTTTGTTTTTATCAAAATATATATTTGAAAAAAAAAATACCTTATAATAATAATAATGATTTTACGATTTTATTTCCAAATTTTTAGGGGATGTTAAACGGTCCCAAATAATTGTGAACAAATTTAGAAATTACGAGCTATAGAAAAGTCTAATCGCTTATCTATAATAAATAACTCTTGATAAAAAATTGTTATAATAAATTTTATGAAAAGAAATATGAATTTTGAAATATTTTCATGGGACTGCCAAGGTGGGACCCGGTCCTTAGGACCGGGTCCTAAGTTTCAATAACATAAGTTTAAAATGCATTTTTAATAAATATATTAATACATTATCATTAAAAAGTAAAATATAACGCCAGTAAAATAAAATCTTCTCTAGAACTGGCAAATTTATTGGGACTTTTAGGACTGTTTAGGACCGTTTTCATCCCTACCAATTTTCCAAAGGGGAAAATAGCATCGTGATGGATTTCGTAATTTTGCATAATTGCATTCCATTTTTTGGCGTCAGAATTAAGCTCTTATTCCGGAAGGAAAATTCGTAATCATAGCTTTACATTTGTTATGCTACAATTTACTAATACTGTATTTGAATTATAATTGATTGCAAATTTACCTTTTGAAGAGATGTGTGGAAATATTAAGGTTTAAAGGTTTTATGAAAGAAATAGGATGGGTATTTAATACAATAGATGATAGCAATGCGGAGTAAAGAGAGGAGAACTGCCATTCCTTTTTGAATAAAATTTTATGCTTAGTCCTCCATTTAATGACCATTTTTTCAATTTTTATCTTTAGCTGGTCAGACTCTTTTCACTTTACAAAAATAAAAGTTTTATATAAAGTTTTTGCTATGCAAAAGAATGCAGTTTTATAATTTTATTGTTACGTGTTTTTAATACGTAAATTATTGTAATTACAAATCTAAAATATTATTAAAGAATCTTATAAAAAGCCTTTGTGATGAAATTAATTATTCTTCCTCAACTTTGCAAAAAAAAAAAATTTATATATATTTAAAAATATGCAGTATATAAAAAATTAGATTTATTAGAAACGGATCATTTTTTGAACTTATTGATTTTTAATATAAAAATTCTAACGAATATCTTTTCATACTGTCAGATAGTAATGTTAGTCGGCTACGGGTTTCATAGTAGACTTTAATACAAGTCACAGGCAAAAAATTTTGAATTTGCATCACCCATGCCAAAATTTTTGCAATAGTCACAGAGAAGGTTAAAATAGAGTAATTAGCAATAGAAACAAATTAGTTATAGATATTTTTCGTAAATGTGAGAGCAAAGAAATAACTTGATGCTGGGACTCGCATTAAATGGCCTAGGATCCGCGTACTCTTTGATAGCATCATATGTTTCTCTTTATTTCTAGTACTTTGTTATTTGTAAAAAAAAAATTGTCATATTATTTATCCGATATTATAATAAGATATTAATGATGACTCAAATTTTATAATCATTTCTTATCAAGTAATTTGATATATCAAATCTGAATGAGCTTAGTGGTTCATTGATTATTATTAGAACGCGTTTTTTAAGTCCGAAGTATGAGTTTCGCGTTCACATAACTGATTAAACTGATTAAAAATCATATAAATCATATATAAATCTCCAAGGAATCATTTTATCCTTTTCTCAACGAATTTTATTTTATTTTTCATATTCACTCTCTCCTAGCTAAAACAAAGATGGATTATTTTAAATTTTTCGACGAATACAAAAAACGTGTTCCAGATGCTTTTCAATATTTAGTTTATGAATGTATATTATTATATTAATCCTAACTCTCTTGCATTCAGCTTGTTCTGCTACTCCGGGGCGTAGAATTAGTGGATCAGGTAAACAATCGGATGCTTCATTCGTACCAAAACTTCTGCCTAAGCCAGCTCAAAACCCATGTGATGCTGAGGTATTATTTCTTGAATTCTGTTATTGAAAATACGTAGACCGATCTGAAATTATAACTGTTTGTAGGGTAATCCTTGGCCAAATATTATCGTTGAGGTGGCTAATTCACAAAGCCTTGCAAGTATAATCCAAAAGACCACCCAATTCTGGTTGGCCCCAAATCGTGTAGAAGACGTTATTGTATTAAAATTGTGGAAATGGAATTCAACAAGGGATCAAAATGGAACCTCTTTGCGCCGTTTAACAGTTCAGTATTATTCTTTGGTGTCATTTCATTTATTTCGTTCGCCTAATAATTATTATATGTTTCTGGCAGTGCTATAAATTCTGTCGTAGAAGAAGCCCTCAAAATGCACGTGGACATTACCTACCAGTTCAAGCAGTAAGAATTAGTGTATTTTTGACAGATGATTTCTATTTGTTTTGTTTACAATATCACTTTATGTATTTGTTTTTTAGATTGAATTCGGAACCATTGATGCAACAAATCAACCATATAACGGATGTACTGCTGTGGGAATGTGTGTTTTGAATATTTCACCACGTTGTATTTACAGAGGCTGTCCTCGACAACCATTTGCGAATAATGTAATTATTGATTTATTTCATATTCAGCAAGAAATATTTGATAGTATGTAGAATAGTAAATATATAAAATAGTGAGTTAAGGTGAACGGGAAATACCGCATGTATTTTTTTACGATTTCTATGATCTTTTAGTATGCACACATGAATCTTACACACTTTCCCAAAAAATCTAAACAAGTAAAAAATTCACGCTAATATGCTTTATTATGCTTTGCTAAATAATGCACAAATGTACTGCTTATAATGAAAATTAAGTTTAAAAATTATTCCAATGCACAATTAAAATTGCTTATTAAAACCATTTTTTCTGGTAGTAACAAGCTTGTCAGTGGTGCAGTAGAAATAGGCGCAGTATAAAAGAATGAAGACCATGTCCCGGCTGTTCTGCTGGACATGTAGTCATGTACTACTAACATTATGATTATGAAAACATCCTGATGTTTAATTCTGGTAGCTCGTATGAAGATGTCTCCAAAATTATTAGACGCTATACCGATGATGTAAAAAATGCATCAATGGTCATTAATAGCTATCTCCGCAAAAAGGGTGAGTTTGTTGTATTTGATCTCAGTAGGCCTGAGGATGATCCTCTATTGCAATTCGGCTAAGGTTTGACACACCATTGAACCTGCAGAAAGAGATAGAAGTGAGGCAGAAGCGCAAGAAAAAAAGTAGTCAAGCTAATTCATGCAAAGCGCCTCTTGGCTAATTTTCTTCCAAAAAATGATGATATTGTTTTTATTATAATTATATTCACATTATACAAGTATTGGGTGATTTCTAGCAATATAAAATAACTACAGCAAAAAGTACTAATAGCTAGATATTAATTATTTCTATCATTACAAGTGTAGTGGTGGTACTTGTGAGGTAGAACCTGCATTTTTTTCATATGGTGGTGGTGGTGGGGTTTGATGTATTCTTGCAATATTTTCTTCACGAAGCCGATCATAATCAGTCACAATAGTGAAATAAAGTAATAGGGGATTAGTATATCTTCTCATAAATATTTCCTTCCTCTGATCAACTAATCTTTACTTGGTATTTTCCAGAACTGTTCTTTGAATTCCTCATAATACTTGAAACCATTCTTAGTCTTTTTTCCATTGGCTTTACCATCGATTACGCTTCCATACACTAAATAGAAAAGATAAATTAGTTTGACATCAGGCGCTATGCATGGCTGAGGCTTCAGATATTTCAGAAGGATTTCTACATACTTTACAATCACGTTTGAGACTCTCAAACTTTTCCCTATAATGTGCATCAGTATAAGACGTTCCAAACTGAAGATTGATCTTTGTGGAGACTTTTTTCCAGAAAATTCTCTTTCCATTCCCAGCTAGTTCATGAAACATTTCGTTATTTTCTTTGCGGTTGTCGATCAAAACTCGAAGTTGCTCATCGGTCTACATATTTAAAAACTTTTTATTTTTTCTAGTTTGAAAAGAAGATCTGTCCAAGGCCAAGCTATTATATATATCTTTCTTAACCACATATTTGCAATTACGTAGGGAGAAAGATTAGTAGATCAAGTCATCTTATATTGAATGACTCCAATATATTGATGTGGTATAGATTATGCAAATGGATTTGAAAATTTTCAGCCAGGCTGGCCTGGATCAAAATCACGTGAAAGTAAAACATATTGGCTATATAAAAAACGTTATGATAGGTCCAAAAGAAATACCATGCTAATATCATTGTTAAATAATATATTTTACTATTAGATCTGAAAAAAATACCATATCAATACCATGTTATTACCGTAAAATTACATAATACTATACTTTTCCAGCTCTGAAGAAAAAAATTCAAAAGATCTGCTAGACACAAAATTAGCTCTGATTAAGAATTTCATGTGATATCCTGACCAATGATCAGCAACCGTCACTTTCCTGGTCCTACGCGGATAAATATATAAATGCTAAAAGAAATATACACTCCTTTGGTAAATACATTCAGGAGATAGCCTATCTTAATTGCTTTTTTTAACTATAGTGGGAAAAAAGGCATATATATAATAAAAATTCTTCCGCAGTTAAGGCTATGATCATCGCAAAAATCTGAAACAAATATGGTAATTCTGATGTCTATTAATTTGCTGATCTGATTCTGAAAAAAATAAACATATATGATAATTCAGTTTACAATCTACTTAATAATTCTTCTAGTCAGATACTGTAGATATGATAGACTCATCATTAGTGAAATCTTTCTTTCATATTTTCCATCACAACAATAATAATCTTTATCATAACCACCGTATCTATTATCATACCCATCATTATCATCTAATCCATATGGTATCTCTTCTTCAGAATCACTAGAATCATTTTCATTGTCTGACTTAACTGATTGCAAAACAACCCTTCATTTGTTTCTTTTACTGACTGAGATGTGGGATCATGATCAAATTTTGGACAACTAAGAACGTTGAAAATTGCCAAGAAAATTTTATTATATGATATATACCACACACATGAATATATATTTGTTTGATCATTAACGGTTTTTATATCATGTAAGTGTTGTAGTTGCCATAATCCTTGTTTTACAAATGTATAGCATTTTTGAGTTCGATAAGCTTCAACATAGCTTGTATCTTCTTGATCATTTCTGCCACTCGTCATCAAGAGGATTTGTT